GACTTCTGTAATAAACCCACTGTGCTAACCCTGTGCCCACCCTACTCACAGAGCTAGGAATGAGCTAGCTATGACAATGTGGATGACAGGAGGTGTAATTATAATATTCGCTAACCATTGATCAGCCAATCACTGTGCTCGTAGAATATGTCGTTTATTTATTTACAGTATTCTTTATTTTACAGTCGGTAATATAAGAATCAGTCAAGGTAGAAGTTCCATGTTAAGCTTTCATTTTATTTATTTTAATATATAAATATTTTTATTCAAGTTTTACAAGTGAATAAATGGCAGAAACATTACACGTTAACGATACATGCACGATGAAACGAGGAAACTCAAAATAAATTCCATCTTTAAAAAACACGAGTATCAGATCTGGGCGGACAGTGGTTACATTAGTCATTAGTCGGTTATACATTTAACCCCTTGGGATTTCCTGGTGGCCTGGCTGGGTCAGGATATTATTTAGGGGGAGAGTGTCTGGGGGGGCCACATTTTGTTGGTATCATATAACATCACTGGTCCTTCAGGGACAGACTAAAGTCAGTTTCAAATTTAAGGTCAAAATAGCCGAAATAGAGAAATTCTCAGCGATGGTTTCAGTGCGACTATTCTGGCCTTAAATTTTAAATTCACTTTGGTAAATAACCCAGTAAGAGTAAAATGTTATATGTCAGGAGAATAGCATCGAACTGTCGGTGAATGTTAAACGTGACGCCAGGAGTAGTGAGGATGTGGGTGGATTTTACGCCTTTGTGGGCTGTCTTACTGCGGCTCCCAGAGGCTGACGGTCTAGAACTTAAAAAAAAGGATTTGATTGTAATAGCGGGGCAAAGCACTATGGGAGTTGAAGTCCATGCCATTTCTGGGATCTAGTACGCCATAATCTGATTTGGACTTGGAGATTCTTTTCGTTACGAACTGTAATTCGAACAAATTTGGGCCAATCAGGTGATTGTCTGATTTCCTGATTTCTGAGCCGCCATATGTACTAATCATAAACCTAACGACGATTTGTAATTCTGAATCCCGCTCGTGGCGCAAAAAAAATATAACTGATGGCTAGCGAAAAGAAAATAAATGGTGATTTTATTCACAGATTAAATAAAAAGTGACCAATAAAGGTAAAAGGAGTTGCTATAAAAATAATCTATATTTATTTATTATTATATTTAGGTAATGCATATAACGTATTAATAGAGATTTTTATTTAATTACATTTTTTTACAGCTTTTTTCCCTGTATTGGTCATTACTCTCTTAAAATGTGAATAAAAGCAACATTAAGTTAAAAATGTATATTTAAATATTAGATATTTAAGACTTTATTTATTTAAATTTTTTCTGCTACTCTTTATTTCCCTCTCTTGGTTACTTTTATTTGATGTGTAAACCAAATGGTGCGAAAATGCTCCGATGCGTGTCCTGTAAAATATATACTTACTATTTATTGTACCGTACACCGATTGCCCATTTTCACACCATTTTGGTCCGTCTGCTTTGTTTTCCTAAATGTTTTTCAACGGATGAAATGCTGACGAACAGAACCGCCACATGCACAAAATTCTACCATCCGGAATTCTTTTTAGTTTTGGACGAAGTGGTTTGGCCGCAATGAATTTATCCATTATGCACACGTCTATTAATGACAACTTTTTACCCCAACTGCCCTCCTGTACAAAACCAACGACGGAAGACGTTGAATATCATGCAATAAAATACAAAGCATTGCATTTATATCCTGCCTTTCAAATGAATAGTATTTCAAAAAAGTAAGAAATTCTTACAAAGAAATCTCTGAATCCTAATAGCTATGGCTAATAATATTGATTGTTAATAAGTGTGTCTCATTCTGTGTCCATGCTGCCATTTGTGACATCTTACTGTGCTAAGTGACATCTTGACACTTCTTTTAACTGAGAATAATAATTGTTTGAAAAGAGGAAATGGCCGTAACGTGTGGGGGCCTGTGATGGCTGAAGACCTGCTCTGACCGCTGAGAGCAGGGTTTTGGGGCAGGCGATGGGCAGAGAGCAGACAGGATGTGAAGTGTCACTGATGGTGTAATGACAGCAAGGAGGAAGTGTGAATGCCACAGCGCAGATCCAGAGATTACGCCCTGACGTTTTATTTTAAGATAAAGAACCCGTAAACTTTGTTTATAAGGCGCCGGCTCGCTAAACTGTGACCTGTGGCAGATAGCAAACAGCTTCTAAAACAGAGGTCAATAATTTCACTAAATTCATGGATCCACCAATGCGCTGCTTAGTGAATAAAAATGGGGCAGTGTTTGGGGAGGGGCCCGAGGGCCACGATTTGTATTCATGGTATTACATCATAAATATCACTGTTTTGCTGGTGCGGACATTCGGGCGTTGTGGTAATTTCCTCAGTATCCCTATATAAAGGCAGCATTTGATTCTATGGATAATGTGTTGCGCCAGCATAGTGCGCAGATACAGAGTTAGAAAAGATAACTTAAAATTAAAAATTATTACTCCAACGTGAAAAAACGCACTCATAGGCTTCAAAATAAACTAAAGAGTGGATTTTTTGTAGGCAGATGTGCCTTTGCATGTAATCAATGTTTCAGTCCAACTACCTCGACATATTAAGGAAAGCTTGGTAATGGGACTGAAATGGTGAATGTCTGCAGTTGCACAACTGTAAAAAATGACGTTATCTTGTTTATTTTGAAGTCCTATGGGTGAGCTCTTCACTTTGAATATGTTATTGTGCTGGAGTTTCTACCTAGCAACAAGACTGGGACAATATCTTCTAATAACATGTTACATATTAACATAGGCGTGCGCACGGGGTGTGCCGGGTGTGCCTGGGCACACCCTAATCCCCGTGGCACGCCTATGGTTTGAGTCCTGCAGGAACAGCGTTCCTGCAGGCACTCAGCGCCCCCTGTTTCACCTCTTGCCCCTGTCATGGGAGGGCAAGAGGTGATGATTCCACCCACCCTGCAGTTCAGCCGCGGCGAGGGAGCTCTCTGCTGTCTGCTCCCTCTCGCCGCGCGCTGATGCCTGGAGCCGGGATATGATGTCATATTCCGGCTCCCAGCTACAGCAGACAGCCCGCGCGGCGAGAGGGAGCAGACAGCAGAGAGCTCCCTCGCCGCGGCTGAACTGGAGAAAGGCGCCTGCCCCCACTGGACCCCAGAGAAAAGTCCACCAGCACTCCAGGTAGGAGGCTGGGTGGACATTTTTTTTTTTTAAATTAAAATATAATAATTTGTGTGTGTGTGTGTCAGTGTGTCTGTGAGTGTGTGAATATGTGTCAGTGTGAGTGTGTCTGTGAGTGTGTGAGTATGTCAGTGTGCGTGTGTGTCTGTGAGTGTGTGAGTATGTGTCAGTGTGTGTTTCTGTGAGTGTGTGAGTATGTGTCAGTGTGTGAGTATGTGTCAGTGTGAGTGTGTGTCTGTGAGTATGTGTCAGTGTGTGTTTCTGTGAGTGTGTGAGTATGTGTCAGTGTGAGTGTGTGTCTGTGAGTATGTGTCAGTGTGTGTTTCTGTGAGTGTGTGAGTATGTGTCAGTGTGAGTGTGTGTGTGTCTGTGAGTGTGTGTGTCAGTGTGTGAGTGTGTGTCTGTGAGTGTATGAGTGTCTGTGAGTGTGTGTGTGTCTGTCTGTGAGTGTGTGTGTCAGTGTGTGTCTGTGAGTGTGTGTGTGTATGTATATATATATATATATATATATATATATACACACACACACGCGCGGCGTGTGTTTGTGCTTTAGGGTGCACACCCTAATGCAATAGGCTGCGCACGCCTATGCATATTAATGACATTTCTCTGTGTATTATGCATGTATAAATGTACATAAATATATTTGTAAATATTAGAGGCATAATTATATATAAAACTAATACACACATTAATATACATGTCATATATATGTATATAGACCCTATGTGTGTCTCTTTCTACCTCCAGCCCCTCTGTGTGCCTCTTTGTCTCCCCCAGCCCCTCTGTGTGCCACTTTGTCTCCCCCAGCCCCTCTGTGTGCCTCTTTGTCTCCCCCAGCCCCTCTGTGTGCCACTTTGTCTCCCCCAGTCCCTCTGTATGTTTCTTTCTCCCCCTCACTGCTCCATGTCTCCCCTCTCTCTCTTCTCCCTCTGTCTCTTTTTCCCCTCCCCTTGTGTCTCTGTCTTCCCCCTGCTTCTTTCTCCCCCTCTCCCCCTGTGTCTCTCTCCCCCTCTGCCTCTTTCTCCCCCTCTGTTTTTTTGAGGGGTAGAAAGTAGTCTTGATCACAAATGCGTTTCAGCGAATACAAACAAATCACATTCCTTTTACTGATGATACTAAGATATGTTACAGGGTTGATGTTCCAGGAGGGATAAGCCAAATGACAAATGATTTAGGTAAACTAGAAAAATGGTCAGAATTGTGGCAACTGACATTTAATGTGGATAAGTGCAAGATAATGCATCTTGGACGTAAAAACCCAAAGTCAGAGTACAGAATATTTGATAAAGTCCTAACCTCAACATATGAGGAATGGGATTTAGGGGTGATTATTTCTGATGACTTAAAGGTAGGCAGACAATGTAATAGAGCAGCAGGAAATGCTAGCAGAATGCTTGGTTGCATAGGGAGAGGTATTAGCAGTAGAATGAGGGAAGTGCTCATGCCATTGTACAGAACACTGGTGAGACCTCACTTGGTGTATTGTACACAGTACTGGAGACCATATCTTCAGAAGGATATTGATACCTTAGAGAGGGTTCAGAGAAGGGCTACTAAACTGGTTCATGGATTGCGGGATAAAACTTACCAGGAAAGGTTAAGGATCTTAACATGTATAGCTTGGAGGAAAGACGAGACAGGGGGGATATGATAGAAACATTTAAATATATAAAGGGAATCAACACAGTAAAGGAGGAGACTATATTTAAAAGAAGAAAAAACTACCACAACAAGAGGACATAGTCTTAAATTAGAGATGCAAAGGTTTAAAAATAATATCAGGAAGTATTACTTTACTGAGAGGGTAGTGGATGCATGGAATAGCCTTCCAGCTGAAGTGGTAGAGGTTAACACAGTAAAGGAGTTTAAGCATGCGTGGGATAGGCATAAGGTTATCCTAGCTATAAGATAAGACTAGGGACTAATGAAAGTATTTAGAAAATTGGGCAGACTAGATGGGCCGAATGGTTCTTATCTGCCGTCACATTCTATGTTTCTATGTTTTACTCTATGCCTGAACGAATTGATCCATCCAGGGTATGTAGGTGGGATCTTATTCTTTGTACAAGTCTAGGAGAAGGTAGCAAATGTTGATCTAAAAACAAACAAAACGCACATTTGTAGTGGAGGTATAAAATCCTAGCAGACGGCCTCCTTCCCTGCTTACTGGCAAATCCAGCCCTGCTTAGGAACAAACAGGCAACGCTTGGACTACAAACCAGCACATCTGTAAAAATATCTCAATATGTGCGAAAATTGAGATTTTACAAAACTAAAGTGAGTTCAAAGTCAATTCAAATTTAAAATGTTGAAACTGAACTGGAAACATTCTGTAAATCAGCAACGCTTTCCGTTTGGCCACGTTTCCCTTAAATTTAGAATCCACTTTTAATTCACTATGGATTCTCCATTTAGTAAATAGTCCTTTTAATCTCGCCTGTTGGATCTCAAAGCTTCATAACAAACAGGGTTATTTACTAAACTTCTGATTTATAGCAAAGCCAAATAGTAAAATTAAAGTAAAATGATAAATTGGGGAATTTCCGACTCACTACAATTCCGCATTTAATAAATAAACCCTGTCACATTTTTCTTTACTTTCACCCTCATTTTTTTTTCTGTGTTTTAATCTTTTTGTGTTTCACTGGGTTTACCACATTGTTAAGAATTGAGTTAATAGACTCCTAATTCTAGTTTGTGGGCGTTCTCTTGACCCCCCATTATCCCCTTTATTCCGTGTTACATGTTATTTCGACAACCACTTTGAATATAGTTCAGGGATCAGAAAGGCTATTGGGAACTGGCCCTTGACATTACTAGGAGGCCGGCACAGATTATATGCTGCTTGGTACTTGGTTCTGTTTGCAGTGGGGGCATTTTTTTTAAATCAGATTCAAATAAATACCTGTACCAGGGCCAATAGAACAACCCAAGAACCCACCAAATTGGGGCACAGCCAGCGCAGCAGAATTTATTCCCAGACGACTGACCGAAACACCCATGGACACAGCCGACACCTGAATTAACTTTTATTTAAACCACTGGGACGTTACCCACCTCAGTCAGACACACTTTGGACTCTCACCTACCGCAAATCTACAGGGATGTCCTTACCCATGCATAATCCAATACTCTTTGGACTTCAGCCCAAATGTGGTGACATTATCTTTACTTTTTAAATATATATATATATATATTTTTTTTTTATTTTTTTTTTTTAAATTTATTTATTTTATTTTATTTTACATTTTTATAGCTTAACCAACAGAAATAGCATTACCATGAAAGAACATATGTGCTCACCTTGATGCTCTTAATTAGCCAGATGACCCACTCACAGCTAGCATAAGCAAAAAGCATATTTTCCAGCAGCCCACACACATCTACCACTGAGCGCAAGTAATCACCTCATAGTCCACACAATCCTCATATCTAGTTAGGAAAAAGGCAGCCCAGTCTGATCATGACATTGTTGGCATTGTTTTTACATGTTAAAGTTTGAACTCGTTAAGTTTAACTACGCATATAATTTAACGCCGGGTCAGCGCTCAGATAGCGCGGCAGCACCACGGTGACCCAGCCGTGTCTTTAAAACCCTCACAAGCACATTCCTACTCATCTGAGCAGAAACCTTGGAGTACTGTCGGAAAGCTTGTAGATCCCAACCTGACATACCACATTAGCTATATGTTCCCAGCTTGCACTTAACCTGCTATATGTAAACATTACTACACTTGTATACGCATTATAATATAAACCGTGCTTCTACTCATGCCACTGTTTGCCATGTAAATGACGTGTACACTGTTGAGGCGTTCTAACCTGCACGACAAAAATAAAGATTAATAATAATAAAAAAAAATACCTGTAATTTTAGACCAAACCGGCCATTTTAAGTAATCCTTACTTACTTGTTGGTTGTCCCACCCTCGCTCCCTAATTTGTTTAAAGTTAGTTAATTCTTTCTCCCATTTGGTCACGGCAGCGGCGGGCTGGATAGGTAAATTGGGGGTAAGACAGATTGGTAGGCGGAATGGTTCAAGTCAGTACGAATGCTTACCTGTTTCATATTGATTTTGGTAGGTTGGAACTCGTTGGTGGCTTACAACCTGGGGGTGTAGGGGCATCCGGGTATACCTGTACAATGTTATAAGTTGGTAATGGAGGCCTGTTGTGCCGTGTTATGTGTTATACAACAAGATAAGGATGCACACTAATATACTAACAATTTATTAATAAATTCTTTATTAAATACACCAAAAAAGATACATAAACAGAGATACAATAAATAGAGCGACCAAAAAAAGGCACATGTACAAATATAATTACCACCAGTAAACAAGCCTAATGGGACAGAACATGAGTCCCCAATCCGCCCAACGTTTCGGCAACACTCCTGCTGCCTTTATCAGGGATGCCTGTATCCTCCCCTTTTTTTGCCGGCCTAAATACCCCACATTCAGCTGATGGCCATCAGCATCAGGTCTTGGCGAAACTGGAAGTGACATCATCACTTCGGTGTCGCGACCCCTATTACAATTGCAACATAGTACAGAGCCAGATATAGACTTCTAAAATTGTCCTAATAACATAAATGCCCAATAGCCACCTCCATCCAACACTCAATTGTCCTTCTTCCTATATCAGCGAACCCAACCTAATTTGCGAATGTGTTATGTCATTTGTTGCGTGGTTATGTTTAGAATTCCTTATTATTTAATGTTGGGGTCATTGTCAGTGTGTGTATCATGTTGTTAAGGGATTGGTGGGATTAAGTGGGATGTTTTACAATGACCTTCATTGTTTATACATTTTTTAATAACGCTGTGATTATTTATTTTCCAAGTCCCATTTTGTCCCTGTGTCTTTTGGGGTTTTGATAATCTGCGCATGTCAAGGCCTGGGGCTCATGTTGATTACCCCTTGCCCTGTTTACAACCTTACTGATAAACAGAATATTCTGGATCGGTTAACCCCTGGCTCCTCACACCCTAGAACTATGTCCACATTTATCAGAGATGTTCAACTTGACTTCATTCCTTTGTTTGTTTTTAGGATTCTTCATCCAAAATAAACAATGTAAGTGATGGATTCAGGACTCTGGCTGCTGATTGGCTGAATTTCACAGCAGTTTGTTTTTGTTGTTGTTATAGTCATGGAGTAATACATACAGACCAATCAGCATCAATGAAGGTTTAAAGGGTTATTCAATGGACGTCCACATATTGCCCACATTCCAACTAACACATGGTTATTATTATTATTATTATTATTATTATTATAAAGTGCTGTATATTATCAAGTATGGGTCTACTTCAAACATGCCTTATATCAATTTCTTCTTTTTTTTAATTGGTTTTATGTTTTTTATTCTTTTTTAATAAAAACTGTAAGAATTCTTTACAAATTAACTTAAGATAAACCCAGTTTGAGCAGCCTGAGCTGCCATGGTGTGTGAAGCCAGTCAGAGTTATTATGGCTGTCAGTGACTGGCTAAGGCACAGCCTGGCATAGAACAATGGCAGCCACCAGCCATAGCTCATCATTATAAGGAGATACATGCTTTAGCTATGTGTGGGAGAAGCCCCCTCTCCTTCCAGGGATAGAGTTTAATGCTCCCCATGTTGTTATAAGGCCCCTGTTTGACAGCATAGAGTGGGCCTGTTGTTACAGAGGTGGGGTATGTGGAGGGTAACTCTTCCCACTCTCAGCCAGGCAGCTGTTTGGGGTCACACTGTGCACTCTAATAACTGCAGGGAGAGTTACCATAATCCCATGGGCCGATTCTCATTTGCCATTTCGATAAAAGTGAAATTGATTGAAGATTTCCCTCCATCGACTTGTGCTCTTTATAGTTATTATAAAAATCAGCCCTCAGCCACAGGGGGCGCCACTGATCACCTGCAGCCAGGTCTTTACATGGCATGTCTCACATTAGACTGCTTCATTGTTTTGCGAGAGAGGAAGATACCGAGATATACAGAAAGCGGAAGAGAGAGAGGAAGCGAGAGAGATGGAGAGAGACGGAGAGAGAGGCATTGACAGAGGTTGAGAGAGGGAGCGAGAGGGGCTGAGATAGGGGGAGACACAGAGAGAGAGAGGGTGAGAGCCTGAGAGAAGGACACGGAGAGAGAGGGGGAGATATACAGGGAGACAGAGAGTGAGAGAGACAGAGAGTGAGAGAGCGATACATGGAGACAGAGAGAGAGATATACAGTGAGACAGAGAGTGAGAGAGACTGGGAGAGAGAGGGAGAGAGAGATACAGGGAGACAGAGAGAGGGAGACAGAGAGAGACAGAGGGAGAGAGAGAGTGGGGGAGAGAGAGAGATACAGGGAGACAAAGAGAGGGAGAGAGAGACAGAGAGAGAGAGAGACAGAGGGAGAGAGAGAGTGGGGGAGAGAGAGAGACAGAGAGACAGAGAGAGAGACAGAGGGAGAGAGGGGGAGAGAGGAGGAGAAGGAGAGAGAGAGGGAGGGAGAGAGGGGAGGAGAGAGAGAGGGAGAGAGAGAGAATGTTTCTGTTTGACATTCCTACAAAATGTATCAAGTATTTTTATTACATATTAATTGATTTAATATTGTTGTGTAAACTTTTTAAATTAGATTTTTAAACTATGGTATGCATAAAAATCTATCAATATATCAAAAAATATCAAAAAAGTACAAAATCGAAATATTTTTCATAATATTAAATAATTTGAAAAGTTTATCGAACACTCTCCCAGACTCCTTACCTTTCCATTAACCCTTGTACCCCCTGGATCAGACTGATTCAATTAGTGAATTGTATCAATGTAACTAAAGCCAGGCTGTGCCCTTAGGGGACCCAGACTAGGTGGGTAGGTGGGTCGGTGGGCAGGTGGGCAGGTGGGTGAGTTCATGGTTGCAGGGATAAAGCCATAGCTAACACTGTCTCAGATTTTGGGGTACCAGCCTCCTCCCCCAGTGTGGGCTCCAGCTGTTGCTGAGAGCTGGATGTTGCAAGCCTGCGGTTAGTTGGCTCACTGAGGCTGCAGATGGTGATAAGACACAGGGTGATATTTAAAGGAGCGATGTATCTCCCTGGGTGTCACTGTAACCATGGCTCTAACTGTGGGTGAAACCGAAAAATATCAGAAATCTCCCAAAATGTGTTTTTTTTTTATTCCCCAAAACCTGCATTCTCTTCCACCACACATCCTGTAATGTAATGTCTGTCTGTACTGATCTGGGAAGGGTTAATGCATGGCATGTCTGTCTGTACTGACTGGGAAGGGTTAATGCATGGCATGTCTGTCTGTACTGATCTGGGAAGGGTTAATGCATGGCATGTCTGTCTGTACTGACTGGGAAGGGTTAATGCATGGCATGTCTGTCTGTACTGATCTGGGAAGGGTTAATGTATGGCATGTCTGTCTGTACTGGTCCGGGAAGGGTTAATGGATGGCATGTCTGTCTGTACTGATCTGGGAAGGGTTAATAGATGGCATGTCTGTCTGTGCTGGTGCGGGAAGGGTTAATGGATGGCATGTCTGTCTGTACTGATCTGGGAAGTGTTAATAGATGACATGTCTGTCTGTACTGATCTGGGAAGGGTTAATGTATGACATGTCTGTCTGTACTGATCTGGGAAGGGTTAATGGATGCAGAGTTTTACAGAATCCCACCTGCTTGGCAGAGTGCCAGGGGGAAAGCCCTGTGCCAGAGGGTGGAGATAGCCCATTACCCTGGGAGTAGAAAGGATACAGACCTTATGGCAAACTCTATCTTTCCATACACCAGCACCTCTCCCATCTCACAGCACCTGCCTTCTGGACAGCTCCCAGCCTGCACCTGCCTTCTGGGATCATCTGGAGCAGGAAGTCACCCCAAAACTGTCTTGTCCCCCTCTGAGCCAGCCAACCAGGGGAGCCTGTTCTCTTACCCCAGCAGTTTGTTTATAATAAAGTCTGGTTCCCCAGTATCTAGTACCTCCCCCTCCCCTACCTTTCCCCTCTTACCCCCCTGGCAGCCTGGAGCCCTCTCTCCATCACTGAGAAAGGGGGACCTTCTGTCTCTATAGTCAGTTTTCATTTATTCATCAATCAGCAGAAGGAAAGCAGTGTGTGACCTCACTTCCACAAACACACACACACTCACTGACAATCACACACACACACACACACACACACATACCGCAGCCTCTCATCCTGTCTCTGAGTGTGCTCTGTGCAGCACCTTGACTCAACATGGAATCCTAAGGAGTACACTGTCAGCCAGGAGCCATGGACTGCACCATCAAGGTAGGTCCTGGGGCTGGTGGCCCTGGGTGATCAGGATCCCTCCTCCCCCTCCTTTCTCACACTCAGGCTTTGGGGCGGTAATCCGAGGCCCCCACTCTTTCCTTCTGGTACCAAATTTCCTCTTCCTTCCCCTTGGTGGTTCTTGTCTGAGTTTAAATAACACCCCAAACCGCCAAGACAGGAGCAGAGAGAGGGGACTTTGTGAGCTCAGCCTGGACACAGGGCCCTGATAGCAGGAATGGGGGGCCACATCCCAGACACCAGCTCCTCTGGGCTGGGGGGACCCCAAGGACCACCTGTTCACAAGGGAGGAACAGGTGGGAGATGCACACCAATGGCCAAGCCAGCAGCAGCAGGTGGGTGAGAGAGTCTGGGTGGGGAAACCCTCACATCCAAAATCAGGGTCTTGTAGGAAATGCGTTGACACCCCCCCCCCCCTGCACCCCAAAATATAGTTAAGCCAGCAGCAGCAGCAGGTGGGTGAGAGAGTCTGGGTAGGGGGACCCTCACATCCAAAATCAGGGTCTTGTAGGAAATGCACAGACCCCCCCCTCCCAGCACCCCAAAATATAGCCCAGCCAATGGCCAAGCCGACAGCAGGTGGGTGAAAGAGAGCCTGGGTGGGGGACTCTCACATCCTAAATCAGGGTCTTATAGGAAATGCATTGACACCCCCCTCTGAACCCCAAAATATAGCCTAGCCCTGAGAGAAGACAAGTGCATAGAACTTCTAGAATTTGTTAAAAACTAAAAAGGGAGCCTGGAATTAATGGACTCCTGGCCCATCAGGTAATATCTTCCCAGACATAATATCAGATCATTTTTATTCGATTTTTAAAGTTTTACCCAAATGTCTAACTCCTCCCCTTTCCCCACCACACATTTATATTTTTATTTTTTACTGTGAACATTACAAAATTATATTTTAGGCTAATTTCTCTCTTTTACAAACTCTTTATCTCTTTAACTAATTAAATTAAAAGTATAATTCGAGAAAATCACAAAACATGCACTGAAAATTCTCTACTAATAATAATATTAATAATAAGTCACTGATAGCGTGCTAATAATTCACTAATTTACAGATAATGCAGTAATAATGTTTAATAAACATCCATTGGTAACTAAAAACCTAGCAAACTAATAAGGTAATTAAAGTGGTTATTAATTCAATGTATTTATTTATTCGCTGCTTGTTGTACTATTTGAAGTTTTGAATTAATCCCTGTTATCTCACTTCAATCATTTTTGTTACAGTTTGTTTTTTATTACTTTATGTCAAATAGAGCATTAATTTGTTAAAATGTTTCTATTTAAAACCGATTATATCAAATTGATGCTTAGTTTCCCATTTAGTCAGGTGTGAGCTTAAAATATAAAATGAAAAATAGAATAATATAAATATATTGAATGAGAGAACCACACCAATACTAAAACTTAATATTTATAATTTTATCAAGATAATTATAATTTTTATGGTCAATTTAATGTGTCAGTTTAAACCCAAATATAGAATATTATCAATGCATTAGCAGAATAATATGATATTAACTATATAGAGATATTAAACCTGTGTGTGCTTAAATATAAAATGCAACTGAATACAGAATTATTATTTTATACATTTATTTACAATTGGTTAAAAACACAAAATAAAAGATTGTAGCTACTATTTAAATGTAACTCCGTGTGTTTGTAGCTCATCATTTTAAGGTTTATAAAACATATATATATTAATTTAGATTTATAATCAAGTTCACACTTAAATATGAAAAATATACTTTTGTCAGAACGATGAAATAATCTTAATAAATTAATAACACAATTCAATATTCTCAATGTTCAGACTAAATGTATTTTCTCGGACATTTTTTAGCCGACATTGTGAAACGAAAACATGGAAATATTGGGCTTAGAAACAGTTTCTTACGAATTGCTCAATAAGTTGCACATTGTATGTAATTGGTTTTTACGCAACATGTTCTTTTACAGAAATCATGTTGTAACCATAAAATGTAACGTAATATTTAACAAATCAACAACAGTATCAATAATCAATCAATCAATCAATCAATATAATGTTACAGCTATTTAACCCTCTACACCCCCTTGGGCTTTAACTAACAAACGGTGATTTAGAAGAAAATTTATCATTGCTGTTGTATTTTATTCATTCAATTCATGTATTAACCAGACATTTTGCACGTTTGAAATGAACTCCTCAAGATTCGTTTTCAGTGTAACGTTAAATGATTTTAGCAAAAACAAAGAAAAAAAAATCTGCACTAATTAATGGAGTTTTTAAATTCGGATGCATCAGTTTGCCATCCACACACCTCCAGAGACTGGGTCTCACTGAGCACCCCGAATTCCAATTTAAAATAGAAATTATCATATATTGTTGTTTTTTATTCATATTATTATATTTTTTTATTTTATGAACATCTTTCTGAAGAAATGTTTAAACTTACTTTATGGATTTTTTTTCGTCACATAAATAGTTCACGTGATATCCATCTCCCCGAACGCTGAATAATATAATATAATATAATATAATATAAAAGCAATAAAGCATTAAACAATGGGTGATCAGACCATAGTTGTATCGAATAATAAAGAATTGCTATTAATTAACAGGTTAGGATCACCTACTCTCCAGCAATAATCTTATTGTGTATTACCCAACATTCCATTACTGTTTAATTAGGTGGGCTTTCTCTTATTTAATTAATGTATTAAACAGGTTCTTATCTGATTCATAAAAAAACAGGAAACGAAACATTGTAACTTTAAACACGAACCCCTCATATTACCCCACCCACACCATGGGGGTATATTTTAGGCATAAGGAGCTGAGCAGGAAAAGTTCACCATCTCAGACGTTATACCAGATTGACTACTTTGGTCTAAAATGGAAATATTTACAGATCCATTAATGTTAACTAAATAATTATTTTACAAGTAAGAAAATAATCTATTTTTATATATAATATTGGATCTCTTACTATGGCCGCTTTAGAATGAGTGAATTAATGCTATAACATGTATCTATGAGTATCACTATGTGGATTTACAAACATGTCTGCCATGAGTCTGCAATGCTATGTGTGTGTGTGTTTAATCTGGTAATAATACGTTAGATATTTTATAAAATGTACAATGTGATTTAAATATTTAAGTGAATGATATAGAGTTTCCAAATTAAATAAATAAATTAAACAAATTCAATCTGATTAAACAAACATTTATTGGCAGAACAAAACGTGTTTAGCAAATTAAAGTAAAATGAATGGATGGGTTAAACTGTCACTTTCTTTTCCTTTACCGAATATATATTTCTATAAACACCTCCTTGCAGCTGTGTGCTAATATGTTAACATTTTATTTCACTGACAGAACCGAAATGAATTATTGCATTCTGCTTATTACATGGACATTATTTAAGGCCCAGTTTAACCCCCTCACCCCCCTATATAAAACATTTTTTTAATGCAGCCAGGAATTGCTTTAAGGCATTGCCATTTGATCATGGATGATGGGCCTTGTAGTCGGCAATACCTGAGAAGCTGCCAGCTGCTTATTATATAAATAGCACATTATGAATCCAGGGTTAACACACAGACACATACTAGAATCGAATTCTGGGGCAACGTTCGAATGGTGACATTCCATTGTTTCCATGGTAACAGCCCCACTTTAAGAAACTTAGATTGTGGATAAAATGAAACGCTCATATATAACACAGTGGGCTTTAGACTACCAGCGGTAGGATTACAGCTTGAATTAACCATTTATCTCATGGTTAATAACTGTGACCGTTTGCAGGAAAGGGAGGAACACGGTGCAGGAGCCATGGCAAGGGTTAATCTAGTTTATTAACGATATCCTGGGCCCTGAGTCCTGCACCAGTGTTAACCCCCTCACTGCCAAGGTGTCTGTATCCCGCCAGCAGAGTGCAGCATCATGTTAACCCCTTCACTGACAACTTGTCTTTATTGAATAGAATAGACAAACATTTATTCGACATATCGTATCATGCATCGCTGGCGAATAATCATTAGATAAAAAACGATTTTGTTTATATTGATTTATAGTCAAAGTCAAATAATGGAATTACTTTACATTCAGTTTTCTGATAATTAAAAAATATCCAATATCCTGCCAGAACTGTCACATAATGTCTATCTGTGGGAATAGGATACTAAGCTGCTACATTGTAACAGTAATGTTTGACCTACAAACCCTCCTGCAGAGCTGGAGCAGGGGGTGATATGGAGGGGCAGGTCCAAACAGTAAGTGGGATTTAAACTGGGTCCTGAGCAAAATTCTGCACTGTAGCTTTAATCACACAGAGCTGTTCAGTAAGGTGAAACTAGCTGGAATTTAAGGTGAAACTAGCTGAATAGGAAGAGTTCTCTATGTAGCTCTGCATTCAGTTCGGCTACTCTGGCCTTAAAGTTGGGAGTCACTATGAATTCTCTCTTTAGTTTGGTTATTTTAGTATAATTATTGCCGCCTTGGTTTCACTTTACAACAATTCAGAGTTTAGTAAATAAACCCCTTTGTTTATATGGTGATTTAACTGTAAATTGAAGAAGGAGTCGCATATGTTTTTTTGATTTCTTTTCAGAATTTGTTTTATAAAAGATTTTTGTTTATCCACTGTAATCCATATTGCAGGGGATTGTAAAGCAAATATCCACATTTAGGCTCCAGCTGTGATAGAGCAGATTTAGAGATTTTTAGTCTAAACGTTGCCACTTGGATTAACCCCTTAAGGACCAAACTTCTGGAATAAAAGGGAATCATGACATGTCACACATGTCATGTGTCCTTAAGGGCTTAAACTTTATTCCAATTCCCAGTTTGATAAATCAGCCTCCCCGAGGCGATATTAATTCCATGTGTAGTCTGCTAGAAAAGCAGGGCCCCCAAGCCTTGCTGATTTATCTGCATGTCAGTAACCTGCCACAGTCTTGTTTTATGGCTTTCAAAGAGCGCGGATGGCTCACGGTTTAAACTTGCAGCACTAGGCCTACGCAACCGCAGAGTATTATTGGCAGCGGTTAGCTGCTGTAACGGCTGCTTTCGCAGAGCGCAGGGAGTCCAGAGATCACTCAGTGCAGCTGATGTTCCACTTTCAGTGTGACAACTCTTTAACGCCTTGAGTGCCAAAACTCAGGCAGCAACTTCATGCTTATCCATTATTTACTAAACACTGAATTTTAAAAGCAAGGAGGAAATAGCAAGGCTGTGGCAATAGCGGATTCAGAGAATTTATTGCAAATCAGCAATTTTTACCTAAATATAAAAATTCAGTTTTCTATTCAGTAAAATTCAGTGTTTCGTAAATACACCCCTTTCAGTTACAAGTAGAACTTGTCTGACCCCAAATGTAACATATGCCCATTTATAAATCCCATATGTTAACAAATACTTTGATCTGTGGCTGGGGAAGGATTGTGGGAATTGTAGTGACAGTACACACATAGCTGAAGATATTAACATCAGTTGCAGGTTTTAAAGGACCCATCATGCTTTCCTCTACAATGTATCAGGTCTGGGATTGGATTGTCCATGACAGGTGTTGCCCTGCAGTATGTAGAATTCATATCCCGTGGGAGGCAAGCCAATAATCAATTAGCTTGTTAAGAATACCTGCTTGATTACTGGAGTGATTTCCCTACAGAGCACATGAATGCTATATACAGTGGGGTAGCATGTTTCATGTGTGCTATTTCCCCAGTAAATCATTGTGGATCAAGTGAACCTATAGAGACATGGAGTCACATCCCATGATAGTGATCATTAGACCATATTCACCATATTAATACTGATTTAGGGAAGCCAATAATACACCCATACGCCCAATGCTGTATTTCAAGCAGTACAGTCCTGAACAATGCGTCCCTAGATGGGTGTTACCACATACAGCGAAAGGGCAAATCACATTAACCATCAGAACAGTTACAGGAAATCTGTCACTAAACCGAGAACAATAACTAATTCTACAACTGCTGTGTCTGCATTTTATGAATAATAGATGCTTCTAAAAAAATGCTCATTTTACTTAATGGGGAAAATGTCAGCGGGGGTTAAATTAACGTCTTAACCTGTTTTAAGTGAAGAGGACTCTTCACTTAAAACAGAGAACCAATATATTAACAATTTACCTTTTGTTTTTTATTGTAAACAAATGATTATATGTGATGTTCCAACATTTGCTGCAAAATATCATTTGTTGAAGCTTCTGCAGTGAGCTCTCAATAAACCAGGAAGTGATTTAGGTCTCTTATGGGTACAGCAATGGTTTCTGTACTTTACTTGTAAGATTCTTGCTTTAGAAAGGTACCAGCTTGATACATCGGCCCCAACATCTGGGGGTATAGAATCAGGACGTGTGTTGGCGGGCTTTCCGGTGGTGTTGCCAGTGATCCAACTTGCACAATGAGTGATGCCCATAATGGGCAGGTCTGCCTGAAATGTGGGCAAACCCTTGCATTGAAGCGGTATATCAGAGTGCGTCAAGATGCCTCCCGGTCAGCCCCCAACAGACTCACCAAGCCCTCTCTGTAATGGCCGTAGGTCAGAGCTAGTGCGTCTAATGATGCGCTTGCAAAGTGCTGCTTGGAGACAATTCCATAGATTGGGAAAGTGGGACAAAACCCCAAAACAGGGACTGTACAGACAAACACGGGTCAGTTGGTAGGCCTGTGTAAAATGTGACACATGCAGAGAGTAAACGGTTTAACAATTACAAAGGATCACTATAGTGTCAGGAAAACTAAGTGGCACTCAGGTTCCCCCTCCCATGGCGCTGAAGTTAAAACCCCTTCAGCAGCTTACCTTATTCCAGCGCCGGGCTCCCTCGGCGCTGGTGACCTTTCCTCCGACGTCAGCTCCCCTGTCCGATGTCAGTGGAGCCGAATGCGCATGCGCGGTAGGTGCCGCGCTCGCATTCAAAGTGTCCACAGGAAAGCATTTCTCAATGCTTTCCTATGGACGCTCTGCGCGATGGAGGCATCGCTAATATAAAAGTAGAACGAAACGGTTTGACTCAGTGGGATGATAACTAGAAAGTCCAGGCACCATAACCACTACTGTAGAGAAGTAGTAAATTTCTCCTTCAATGTATGGAACACTGGTCTGGTCAACACAGAGATTGCTATTATTATTAATGTATCACCAACATATTCCGTAGCGCTGTACAATGAGGATGCACCTTTAGTAATTGAGTGAATCAGTGCCAGTCATGGGATGATTTTACTCTCGCTGTGTCCCAGACGTGTCCCAATGGGGGGGTAACTCGCCCCAGTAACCCTGCTCGCAGTGTAGTACAGGAAGTTGTACTCTAAATATGATTATCTGCTCTTATCTCAGAAACCAGAAGGTCAGAAAATGTCCGGCACAGCATCCTGAGTCTCCAGGAACTGCCGTCACACACCCTGTATTAGCTGACATGGAGCAGGCCCTGTTACTGGGGAGAGACAGCGAGCTGAGTGAAAATACTCAGTTATCACACCATATTTATTAATACAAAGTAACAGAGAAATATTGTAATGACAAACATTCAGGAGACACCACCAGCACCGTATCCAGTATAAAGCATTTCTCGAGATACTGTGTTAACACTCCGATATGGTACATGTAATGAATGGACGTAGCAAAGATAAATCATTACAGGTTATCCCAAACCTACAGAACATTCTGTGAGAGGATCAGTTCAGCTTCTTATAGAACTTCAGCATAACAGATACAGAGATATTATTATTAGTATGTATTAAGTACCAACAAATGCCACAGCTCTGTGTAATAAATTAACAAAACTACTGCTCCCACTGGAAGGCTATTCCAGGTATCTACTACCCTTTCTATATCACTGTTACTGCTCCCACTGGAAGGCTATTCCAGGTATCAGCTACCCTTTCTATATCACGGTTACTGCTCCCACTGTAAGGCTATTCCAGGTATCTACTACCCTTTCTATATCACTGTTACTGCTCCCACTGGAAGGCTATTCCAGGTATCTACTACCCTTTCTATATCACTGTTACTGCTTCCACTGGAAGGCTATTCCAGGTATCTACTACCCTTTCTATATCACGGTTACTGCTCCCAGTGGAAGGCTATTCCAGGTACCTACTACCCTTTCTATATCACTGTTACTGCCCTCACTGGAAGGCTATTCCAGGTATCTACTACCCTTTCTATATCACTGTTACTGCTCCCAGTGGAAGGCTATTCCAGGTATCTACTACCCTTTCTATATCACTGTTACTGCTCCCACTGGAAGGCTATTCCAGGTATCTACTACCCTTTCTATATCGGCTATTCCAGGTATCTACTACCCTTTCTATATCACTGTTATTGCGCCCACTGGAAGCCTATTCCAGGTATCTACTACCCTTTCTATATCGCTGTTACTGCTCCCACTGGAAGGCTATTCCTGGTATCTACTACCCTTTCTATATCACTGTTACTGCTCCCACTGGAAGGCTATTCCAGGTACCTACTGCCCTTTCTATATCACTGTTACTGCTCCCACTGGAAGGCTATTCCAGGTACCTACTACCCTTTCTCTATCACTGTTACTGCCCTCACTGGAAGGCTATTCCTGGTGTCTACTACCCTTTCTATATCGCTGTTACTGCTTCCACTGGAAGGCTATTCCATAGCCCTACTTTGTTTTGATGGTAAAGAATCCTATAATCACTTTTAAATATATGGATTCTATTTGGAGGGATTGAAAACCTCGAGGGGCCTAATACTACATGGGAGCATTGTGTTATCCATATGCAACAGGGGTACCCAAAAGGTAGATCCCCAGAGGTTTTAAAACTACAGCTTTTATGAAGCGTTCTCATTCTAAAGGCATGCTAAAGGCATGCAAAGCATCATGGGAGTTGTAGTTTTACAACATCTGAGGATCTACCTTTTGGACAAGCCCTATACAGAGTTTATCTGATAGCGACTGATACTATAACCACATGATTGGTGTCAATAAATTGGTAAGCAGCCTTGTTTTTGACATTGTTTAGTCTCCTTACTGCAGTCTGTGAGGTCATCAACATTGATGGCTATTATCCAATCACAGAGAAGCACTGAACGCACATAATATCCCACGTCAGCAGTTTTACAACGATCGAGTCTATTTGTGTCGGAATTCCCGGGTGGCCGTCTGACTTTTGAAATTTCTCAGACAAAGCTGCTGTATCGATACCCATTTAGATTTCGGCGTTTAAAAAGTGCCTTTTTAAAATAGCTCTGTTTCGTCATATTGACATAATAATGAATGTGGAGGTCTTCGTTGGACTCTGATTTGCTATATTTATTGCTGTAAGAGGCTGCGACATAACTAGTTTATAGTTTGGATGGAAAAAATAAATCTACTAAAACTCAAAGTTAGTGCGACCAGACCAGGAATGTAAGAAAACGTAGATTGCCGCAGATTGGTAAATTAATATCAGTGAAAATACAGAAAGATCACTATTCACTAAACCCAGAATTGGGGGTTAGGGGGTGTTTAGGGTTTGGAGAATTTCGTATTAGGTAGGCATTATGATTAAGGGGGGATATAGGTTTGGGGTTACAAGCCATGAAAGTTTCAGCAAACTCTAACTTGATGGCAAACCTTAAGCAACCCAAAAAGCTAAGGACCCCTAATCCTGAACTTATACTTACCAGGCCTAGTATGTTCGCTAACCCTACAATAACCCCAACATGGCTGTCAGTGCCATGGAGACAGTTTAAAAGCGTCCATTTCTGGGAATGTCTTCTCTGCAGAGAGGGGGAAAGGTCTGACGCAGAATGCAGAACTGCCCCCAGGTGCTGAACGCGGCGATACAGCTCTGACACATCCAGTGAAGTGATACCACAACTATCACATACGGTCACTCTGGGCGAATCGCTCCCTGTACAGAAGAGGAATTGGAGTGGAAAAGTTCCCATTTTTTTTCTGTCTGCTCTACTTTTCGTGAACTAAAACTGATATAGACATGGCGGTTGTAAAAGAAGAAGTGATCTGTTTCTATTTTCATGCCGGAGAGCGTATTCGTCCCAGTAAACACAATTTCAGTTTTTATGGTTTAGTCAAACGGTAAATAGAGAGACGTATAAAATCTGATTTCAGCTCCCAGCTGAACAGGGCAGCGCATGCTGCCAATTTGAATAATTCATACTAAAACCTAGTAACGTTTCCTGTGGTTCTTCTCATTCCTGAAGGCCCAGCTTATAAAAAAGACAAAAGAAAACAAAAGATTCTGAATGGGAGAGGAATCATGAGAAATATAAACTAATTTGCATAAAATGCCTTGTCTGTGCCTTTCCTGAAAGCAGTTAAGCTGTTGATTTGAAATGGTATTTATAGTAAACTCAGGACAGGTCTACTTTAAGTAATTCTATCACCAACAGAGAAATTAGTCATATTTTGAAATGTCTGAAATGGAAACGTACAGGGAGGAAAGTGAAAATGGACAGAGGTCAACAAACCGGGTCAGCAGTAATTTTATGAATGCGCCATGTGGTCTGTAGTTCCCGTCAGTGAAGATGTTCCTGTCGGTGACAGGTCAGCAAACAGGGTCATCCACTAAACTGAGAAATCAAAGTGAATTCAAAGGCAATTTCAAGTTTAAGGCCAAAATAGCTGCACTGAAAACATTCTCCAGGTCAGCTGTCTCCAGCTCGACTACACTGGCCTTAAATTCACTTTAAATTGTTACTTTATTGAATACCTCTCTCAGTTTATCTCTGCACCATTCAAAGGGAAGTAAATTAATTTTGGTCTTTATTCCTTCAATCTCCACCTGCTCGTCAGCTTTAGTGTTTGACGAGTCAGGAATCAACGTATAAACACAAAGGGTGTATTCACTAAGCGAGGAATTCTGAAGAATAGACTAGGAAAATCTTTGGCCAAAATTGTCCCACTCATCTAGTTATCCATCACTGCTAGTTTATCTTAAGGTATACAATTCCCTTGGCTAGCTATGCATTGTGGGGGTTGTAGTCCTGGAATAGATCTAAATTTGCCCATCAATGGATTTAAAGGAACATTATATTGTTATAAATGCAAAGTGTATTCCTAACACTCCGGCGAATAAATAGTTAAAACCCTTTTTATACCCTCAGCGCTGGATCGCTCTCCTCCACGCACGTCAGTGCGACCTGGGAACCTAATGCGTACGGGGTGTCGAGCATGCATTAAGCCTTCCTCATAGGAAAGTATTGAATCAATCATTTCCTATGGAGATTGTGATGGGACTAGACATCGTTATGCAAAACGTGAGGAGTCAAGTGTGGATTAACAGGATTAAAGGGAAATTGCTGTCGGTTCAATTTCGCAAAGTACAAAAAAAACAAATAAATGCACAAATGGTTCCCCTGGCTCATAGGTAGCGTTTGTTCCCCTAGTTCGTGGGAACAAATCTACCGAATAGCGCTCTCCTGGCTGGTCGGTGAAAGGAAGCAGGCGTTCATGTAGTTTGACTGGCGTTCGGTAAGTCGAGTGTCCGATTTTGGTTCCAGACACTCGACGACCAAGTACCACTGCCTCCTTTCCTAAAGAGATGGGTTTTAAGGCACTTCTTAAATGATTGAAGACTAGGGGAGAGTCTGATGGCGATAGGCAGGCTATTTCATAGGAAGGGAGCCACCCGCGAGAAGTCCTGCAAGCGTGAGTTGGCCATGTGGTATATTACTAGAGCATGGACAAGCTCCTTAGCAGTGTAAGAAAGGGGTGGATGCAGGCTATGTTTTTAAGATGGAATCTACAGGATTTTGCAACAAACTGGATGTGAGGCTCAAAGGTGAGGCCAGAGTTTAGTATGAGGCCAAGACAGTGCGCGTGCAAGGATGGACTGATGTGGATACCACTAACTTGAAGGGAGAGTAAAGGAGGAGGATCGGTATTAGGAGGAGGAAAGACAAGGAGCTCAGTTTTAGAGAGATTGAGTTTCAGAAAGCGGGAGGACATCCAATCAGAGATGTTAGAAAGGCAAGCAGTGACGCGTTGCAGGAAGGCAGGGGAGAGGTCCGGGGAGGAGAGATATATATGGGTGCCATCAGCATACAGGTGGTAGTGGAATCCAAATGAGGTAATACGTTTGCTAAGAGAGGCAGTATAAAGAGTAAATAGAAGGGGACCAAGGACAGAGCCTTGGGGGACTCCAACAGAGACAGAATGAAGGGATGAGGTATCATTAGAAAAGGAGACATTGAATGAGCGTTGGGAGAGATAAGAGGAAAACCACGAGAGGACAGAGTCACAGAGACCGAGTGATTAAAGAGTTTGAAGAAATAGAGCATGATCAATGGTGTCAAAGGCAGCAGAGAGGTCAAGAAGCATTATACAATGCTTTCCTGTGGGGTTTTTGGGTGACATAGGATGTCCTCATGCATAGCGTGAGCGTGAGGACGTTCAGTGTCAGTTAGGCGACCAAAAGGCGGCTAGTGACCGGAAAGTCCCTCTAGTGGCAGTCGGGTAGACAGCCACTAGAGAAGGAGTTAACCCAGAAAGGTATTTATTGCAGTATATTGATAACTGCAATAATTGCCTTTGCAGGGTTAAAGGACCTAGGACACTGCACCCAAACCCCTTTAATGATATGAAAGGGTCTGGGTGCCTATAGTGTCCTTTTAATTTGAGTGAATTGAGGAAGCTCTTCCAGTGGCTGCCTGGGACTCAGCCACTAGAGGCAGTCTTAACCCTGCAATATATAATATGTTTTACACTGCAGGGTTAAGGGTACGGGACAATGCACACAGATCCCTTCAATGAGATGAACTGGCATTAGTATCCCTTTAAGTAACCAAACTGATCTGTGTTTACATGCATGTTCTGTGGTTCCAATCATACAATCAGTTACAGTGGGACAGACTGGCAGATTTGTTTGACTCTGTTCCCATGCTGGGGTTTGGGTGGAGAACAACGTGCGGTTAGTAAGATTTGCCGTTTGGAAGAAGCTTATCTCAGCTAAAGAGAGGGTGTGAGCTTAAAACTGTGAATTCTATCTTGCACTCAGTTACATGTAGGAAAAAAAACGACACATTTTTTACGGGTCAAATCAATAAATAAACTAACTGCAGATTTGCCAGAGAAAAAAAACAAACATTTCAATTCCCGATTTTTGTTTGTCAGCTTTATTCAGTGTGAACTGCCAGGAATTCAGAGCGAATTAACCGTGAACGTGAAATTAGGCCAAATAGTGGAACTGAAAATCTGATCAGGAACAATGTGCAATTTTAAAAATTTGTCTATTTTAACCTAAAATTTAAATTTTATTTGAATTCCTAACACTTCTTACTCCTCCACTGTGTGCATTGTCAGTGTTAAAACACAAACATGATGATTAAAGTGCTAATGAGAAATATATAAGTTTTCTCATTCGAGCTGTTTTATGGCCAAATATAAATATCTCTCCCGCATATGTTAAATGTGAAAACACAGCAGACTTATTTTGCTCTACTCCTTGATATTGTGGCGCAGGCACGGAGGGAGGTGGTTTGTACTTACTCCCTATTTAGGGAGCAGACCCCCAGATAAATCAAACTGGCTTCATTCTGCTGGTTTTATTTATTGAATATCCTTATGGGTTTTGTATAACGCAGGGCCTAGCACTGCGGAGTAATGGGGTGCTGTCCCCTGGGTATTCGCAGGTCACAGAGATAGGTTCGTTATTAAAGAGGAAGTGATGGTAGCTGGTGATTGAGGTCTAGGGTGACAGGGTAGCAGGATGTAGAAGCTGAGGTGGTGTACAGATTATTAGTAACTAACGATCACAGCTGGTAGTTTCCTGTTTATTGTACGTCTTACGCTCTATCAACACAAACAATCTGCATTTCCATGCTATTCTGGGCCTTTATACGTTTGTTTAACTAAATCTATCACACCGAAATATACAGGATTAGAAACAAGCCACTTCTAGCTGGCCGTGAGTCCTGGGAGTTATAGTTTACAACTGAAAAAATCTGTTTATTCCAGAAAATGAAAAAAAACCAACAACAACAACTGTCCCATGAAAAGACCAGTAGACTGCGAAGTTGTATAAAATCTAATTAGACATGCATGTATTGTAGTTATGGGACTTGGCTGCACATTTAGCTTGCTGCAAGGAATTCTGCACTTTAGAGAGAGTGCATCGTGATAGACGCAGGGGGAGAGGCGGAAGAGCAGAGGCCTGAGACAAAACAATATCTGCCCCATACATGGAAACTTTGAAAGACTGTATTTTCAGAACACACACAGAATGCACTGATAGGCAAATTAGCACTTTTTGTAAAAAAACAAAACAAAAAAAACACAGCATTTGAAATCTTTACATTTATTTTGCATATTTCGTTACTAACAGCCTGCTGTTTAAAACAAAGCCTTTTTTATTTTTACCATTTAAAAAAAAATGGCATAGAAAAAATGTATATTATTATAATTTGAATCTTGACATCCAGTCTCTGACACTCGGAATAGAATCATACAGATTGCTGCTGAACTTGTATCTTTATACTCTGTCTGTCTCTCTCTGTCTTTCAGTCAATCCGTCTGTCTCTCTGTCTATCTCTCTCTCTATCTACCTGGGTATATATCTATGAAATATCGAGATTTCCAAGGGAATTTTAATCTTTAGGATAAAGAACTGACTTTTTCTTGCCATATACAGCTACCTTGGTCTAAATGTGCAAATTCACTTTGAATTCCCAGCAATTCTCATTTTAGTGTTTAACCCTTCTAGACCTTAGTACATGTACTGTAACAGTAGAGACTGGAGAGAGATCTCCCCTTCACATGTTTCACCAGTAATTTCTCGATGGTTGATTTACAGAGTGAAACTCTGTTAAGATAAATAGGGATTTGATTTTGTGACCCACAGAGGTCATAGTTAATAAAATACTGAAAAAGTTTCATGAGTGATGACATGTTCAGAATGAGTTTAATTATTTAAAGTAAGCTGGACCATGATAATTAATTACTGTAATAATGCTAAGATTTGATGCAGGGACCAGTAGTGATATAATTAGGACATGTACTATCTGCACGTTGTCTCTTTGCTGTGTGTAGGACACGGAGTACAGAGCGATTCTGGGATAATGTGATACTTGGGCTGGTACACAAATACTCTGTCAGTAGGGACGAGATTGGATAATGGAAAAAAACTCAATACTTGTTTTCAATTGAAGGAAGGAGAGAGATGGACAGCGTGGCCAAACGGCAGGGTGGATGGAAAAAGGATGGATGGAGCAATGATCTTCAGGGTCTAATAAAGCATGTGGATCAGGATCTATGACCAGTCTTAGAAAATATAGAGAGAAAACCCTGAAGGCTTGTGTAAAGACATGCATTGTCATATAAAATAGTGGGTGATGGTAGGAATAGGCTATGGAGCTATCTGGAAGATGATAGCTAGAGGTCAGGGAGCTATCTGGGTGGTGATCAAGAGCTGATGGAGCTATCTGGGTGAGGGTGATAAAAATGTGATGGAACTATCTGAGAGATGATAGGAAAGTAATGGAGCTATTTATCTGATTGTGAGAAGAGGTGATAGCGATATCTGAGTGATGGTGGGAAGATGTGACGGAGATATCTAGGTGACGATAAAAAGAGGTGATGTAGCTCTCTGGGAGATGGTGATAAAGAGATGATGGAGCTATTTGGGTGATGGTGAATAGATGTAATGGAGAAATCTGGGAGATGATAATAACAGGTGATGGAGTTATTTGGGAGATGATAAGAAGAGGTGATGGAGCTATTTGGGTGATGGTGGGAAGATGCGATGGAGATATCTTGGTGATGTTGGGAAGAGGTAATGGAGCTATCTGGGTGATGGTGGGAAGAGGTGATGAGATTACTTAGATAATGGAAAATAAAGGTGATGAAGCTATCCTGTGACATTGGAAGGAGATAACGGAGATATTTGGATGATAATGGAATGAGATAATAGAGCTAAAGGGTGATTTTGGGGAGAAGTGATTGAGCTTTTTTTCATATAAAAAGTTGATGGATCTCTCTGGTTGGTTATTTGAAGAGACGATGATGATATTTTGGAGTTTATGGCTACAATTAACATATTTATTTTGCTGATGATATAAAAGAGCCTGAATCAGAATATGGCTCACGCGTGTGTGATCCCACAAAGAAATCGTAGCTGTGATCTGTCGTTGATTGTTGACCTTTACATCTTTTCTTGCAGGAGGCTCTTTCTGTCGTCAGTGAAGATCACACTCTGTTCCCTCCTCACCTACTGAAAACAGAAATGCCAGATGATTACCCACCAAGCATTAAGGAACGAGAAGCATTGGCAGAGCACCCTTGGGCATCAACTGGTGAACACCAGCATCAAAACATCAAGCAAGAAGCAGAGGAGATACCTGGGAGCAGGTGAGACGTCCGTTTGGTGGATTCCCTCTGCCCTGTGTGATGTCTGTAACAATCCTTACTATGTATAGAATAATAAGAAAACCACTGAATGACTGTCACACAATCTAATTAATTAAGGCTATGGGTATTTATATTTTTGCATGTGAGATTTTTACTAATTCCGGTAGTGTTGTTAGAAAGCCGGTTGGCAGAGGTCTGCGTCAGATGAGGACATTAGACCACATGTCAGTTTGACAAAATTTCCCTTTTGTGTCCCCAGGATAACCAGTGGAAGCGCAGCTGGTTTAGGGGTGGAAAAACCTGAAGCAAGCACCGAAGAATCCCATACAAACTACCAACCCAGTTACCCAGACACGACCAGCAATGGGCCCCCCTCGCCCACTCAGATCAATGGGAGTGAAGAGAAGAGGGTGATAGTGCCAGCAGGTCAGACTGTCTCTCAGTTTGGGTAAAGTAAAGGGTAGATCCAAAACTGTGGAGATAAAAGGACCAGCATGGGTGTAGTCTGATGCTAATAAATAACTAATGCTGAATGAAAAAAATGAATATAATAGAACTGTATCACTCCAGGCGGTACTAGAAGGAGGAGGAACGACTAATTTAAAATAAATTTTACGGTTAAAATATACAATTCCTTTGTAAACTGTCCATAATTCTAGCTTAGTAACGAAATCTCGTTTTGGTTATTCATTAAATAATAAATTTATGTAATTTTTTGGGGTGTTTGCTGAAAACCCATTATGTTTTATTTAAAAATGTCTGATCTCAATAGTTTCACCAATGGAGTGAAATCTTTCCAATTTATCATATTCCAGTCTCGTGCGTCCGCTCTCCAATAAACCCATTGAATATGTTGCTAGGAGCTGGAATAAAACACATGAAGGGGAAGCAGTTTAAACAGTTGTTTTCTATGTCACAGATCCCATGGCATGGACACAGGAGGACGTAGCACAGTGGCTGGACTGGGCGGTAAAGGAATACGGACTCTGTGATGTGAATACTTCCATGATGCAAGGGGTAGATGGGAAGGAACTTTGCCGGATGGCGCGGGAAGATTTCCTGAGATTAGCGTCTCCTTACAGCACGGACATGTTGCTGTCACACTTGGGGTTCCTAAGGCAAAGTACGTAAAATCACAGCATATTATTAATGCATATTGCTGCCTCTCGGGCATAGGTCAAATCGTGGGTACAATGTCTCAAATTTTTCAACCAGACTGGCTAAAAAACAGAGTTGTAACTACAGTTACAACTGTAACTGTCAGCCATCGTTTGTCTCATAAATTGTGTTTGTAATATTCATATAAATAAGATCTAAATAGTATTCATCTGACAAGTGTACTACATTCCTAAAGTGAGCTATAAACTGTCCACGGCAGAATTTATCAGCACTGCTATTTAGTAAATACAGACAATAGACGTATTCCCAACATGGCGCCTGTATGTGCTCTCTGCACAAGTTGATACAATAATTATTTTTTTATTTGTGTTACCTCACATTTATTAATATTATGTGTATTAAAGTTACAATGTCTATGTGATACACATTTTCTGTGGAAACTGACCCTGAATGGTTTCACAACCAGAATCCTGTTGGGATCCGGTTGCCTTGGTGATTGCAAAATGGCGAGCATTAAATGAGTGCATTGAAAATGTAGCGGAACGAGTTGCTACTTTGTTGCTCTGGGAAATGTAAAGCACTGACCTTTAATTCAATCCAGTCTGTTTTTAAGCTTTCATTATTTTTTGCTTATAATGTCTAATATGTGTCCCTACCCCACCCCCCAACCTGTTTTTTGATGAAAACCATTTAAAATAAGAGTAGAACATATCTTGAATCAAGTGCTGGGCCAAGTTCTCCCTTATTCCACGCCTTCTCTGTTGTCAATCTGCATAACTGGTTTCCTCTTCGAGGTCAAATCAAATGCTTCACAGAAAAACATTAACCTTTGTGGACCAGCATGGTAACCGCCACGACCTGCCAACCAGTGGTTTCTGATAATGCAGTGAATGCGACACAAGGCATGCGCGTTCATGTGCAGCAAGATGAACTGATTGACAGGTTATCTGCCGCTAAAGCCCACTCTTGCACCAAGAAGCTCATTATGCATCTCGCCAGTGTGCGTTGCGTGCTGACTCTCTTTTGCTCGGAACTCACATTAGTCCATCTAACTAAGGCCTCCATTTGATATTGTTGGATACGTTTTTAAATTGATTGATTTTTTTTTTTTAATTAACTTTTAATATGATTATTTCAACATTAAAATATAAAAATAAATCATATAAAAAATATTTATATTTTAAAAATTAGCAAAACATTACACCATTAAACTATTCTTCATAATTCTAAATCATTTTAAAAGTTTATCCAAAAATATTAAATTAAGGCCTAAGTCATCCATTGTACAGCGCTACAGAACTTGCTCGTGCTATCTAAATAATAATAATAATCTGTGCTGGTGGGTGCAACTAGACTCCAGCACAGATTCTTAGATTTCTCTGTACAAACAGCGTTTCAAATAGAAATGTGGCACGTACAGATTGCTTGCACCATAACCACTTCTTAGCAGGAGTGGACATGGATGTTGGAGTAACCCTTTAACATCATTCCATAACCGCGCCATTTCCGTATTGTAGAATTAAGCTCCATTACATGTTTCCCCACATTACAGGATTATATTTATACGTATTATTATTCTTTGCAGACAGTACGACATTCACATACTCCGTGACGCCAGCTGTCCACACACATCCAGTCACCCCTCGTGCCCAGGTGAAAACCGGTGAGTAGATCCCGAGGGCTTCGTGGTGACTGGGGCTGGGATTCCCAATGGTTGCTGTAGATACATAGTGAGGAGATTTGTTCTAGACAGGTTTTAACTCTCAATGTGGAAAATAAACAATTGTTTTTTTTTTTTAAATAATTGCTGAAATTGATTTAGGTATAATTAACAGTGTTATTCATTAAAGTGTGAATTTGTCAAGAATTCAAAGTAAATTTCAGCTAATTAACTGATTTTTAAAAATGATTTAAATCCGCTGTGTTTTAAGATCAGCATTCTTGGTATAAAATGTTAAAATCACTTTGAATTTAGTTTGAATGGAATCCTACTAACCTGAAATAACACAGAATTAACAAGGGAATTGCAAAGACTAAAAGTGCAAAGACAGCGTAATTTAAAGGGACCCTATAGGCACCCAGACCATTTCAGCTCATTGTCCTGGGTCCATTAACCCTGCAGAGGTAGTTATTGCAGCTTTTGATAAACTCAATAATTACCTTAATGGGTTAACTCCGCCTCTAGTGGTTGTCGACCAGAGAGCAACTAGAGGGTGTACCCTGTACCGGCTATGCATGAAGTCATCCAGCGTCACCCAAAACCCCATAGGAAAGCATTATACAATTCTGGGAGCTATAATCCCCCATTTAGTGGATAAACCCCAGCACGTGTTTGTGTTTTATAGTACATAACGAGTGTTGGCTGACCGGTCTGTCTCCATATTATATCCACAGAACCATTATACGAGGATGGACGGCGAACGAACTGGAACACAACAGCAATACACAGAGGTACAGGCTCCTCCCTAAAGGGTAAAATGGGGCTCGTCACCGGTCTTTAATTAGTTTTCTGCCAGGGAAGTCAGAAAGGGCATAGCGCTACCTGACTGTATGAATAAATTATTGAATGGTATAATACTTTATAATACCTGACTGTATGATTAACTTCTAATACCTGGCTGTGTGACGGGTTATAGAATGGTATAATAATTAATAATACCTGACTGTGTGATTAACTTATTGAATGGTGTAATAATACCTGGCTGTGTGAGGAGGTTATAGAAGGGTATAATAATTTATAATACCTAGCTGTGGGATGAGGTTATTGAATGGTGTAATAATAATATCTGGCTGTGTGAGGAGGTTATAGAATAGTGTAATAATAATACCTGACTGTGTGATTAACTTATTGAATGGTGTAATAATACCTGGCTGTGTGAGGAGGTTATAGAAGGGTATAATAATTTATAATACCTAGCTGTGGGATGAGGTTATTGAATGGTGTAATAATAATATCTGGCTGTGTGAGGAGGTTATAGAATAGTGTAATAATAATACCTGACTGTGTGATTAACTTATTGAATGGTGTAATAATACCTGGCTGTGTGAGGAGGTTATAGAAGGGTATAATAATTTATAATACCTAGCTGTGGGATGAGGTTATTGAATGGTGTAATAATAATACCTGGCTGTGGGATGAGGTTATTGAATGGTGTAATAATAATACCTGGCTGTGGGATGAGGTTATTGAATGGTGTAATAATAATATCTGGCTGTGTGAGGAGGTTATAGAATGGTGTAATAATAATACCTGGCTGTGTGAGGAGGTTATAGAATGGTGTAATAATAATACCGGGCTGTGGGATGAGGTTATTGAATGGTGTAATAATTTATTTCCAATGGGGACAAAATGTACAATAACCAGTGTGCCAGTGACCAGGAGAATAAAATTATTGGTGTGATTATACGATGTCCTGTCATTGCAGTGTCGCCCCCGCAGACCCATGGGACCATCAGCACAGGAAATAATCTGCGCAGCACCCCAGGTGAGTTCACCTCTTTCATTCTACTCATTTAAATAGCGCCTGCATAAACCACAGCGCAGTACAATAGGCGAACTCCTCATCCTATCAGCGCAGTCAATACTCTGCGCAGCACCCCAGGTAAATACACTCCAGGTGTTGTGAACTTCATCTCCTCTGACGTATTGCCAGCATTATGGCTGTAAGAGCATCACAGGGACCCGTAATAGGTGTCAGTATTCCTGGATTTAATAGGACCTTCTCGGTTTGGGGCTTCTGCCCCAGCACCTTGGGTTTGTATTCTGTCCCCACGCATTCATTCAATGGAGAGTGCGTTTCGGGGTACTGAGCATTGCACAGAGTGCTTTAGATATATCGTGCCTATGGGCAGCTGTGAATAGAGCCAAGCACAGCGACAGCCAGTCTGTCTGGTGTTAATACACGCCCCCCCGCTGCCGTGCCCTCTGATCAGGCCTTCGTCAAATCTGCCATGCGCAACGCAATGATAAAATGTAACTTTAAATAAAATGTAACCATCACCTCTCTCCCCTCTCCCCAGATCCGTACCAGGTTCTAGGCCCAACCAGCAGCCGTCTATCAAACCCTGGTAAGTACCGACTCATGACATCACATTATATTATATATGTTATATTATTGCTGTATATATTCTGTCTATTGTCAGAACTACAAAGATAGTTTTGGAGTGGGGGTTATTTATTCAATAAAAATAAAATGTAGTAAATTGAAAACCAAATGGCACAATTTGGGTAAAAATAGTTCATTTGGAAAACAATCTTTTGGTGGGCTATTTTAGCCTAGATTTGCAAAATCATTTTTCAGTTCTCCAGAATGTGGTGTTTTGTAAATAAACCCTGTAGAATTCTCCCCAATTCCCAGTTTAGTGAATTATTGCCTCCGGTTTGTAGGCTGGGGGGGTCTTGCTTTTGTAACAGTGCGCTTATCTCGCAGCCTTTCAATATGTGCAAGGCCTGTAATCCAGTGACTGCAACAAACCTCACACATTAGTGTCTAACAGCCCTGGTTTACACAAGAACTTGTAAATAAACAAAACCTGATGTAATCCCCCCATTATTAATGAGGGTGATTAGCTCCCAGAGTCAGTTTTCATCCCTCCCAGTACCTGTTTGCAGATCACAGCAGGTTGTAAGAAGCAAGACGTGTCTTAATTAGACAAATTGTGTTGGGAAAATGCTTAATTATGTTAATCAGTGAATTGACAGAAACTAAATATAGAATTAGGAAAACATAACGACAAACAGCCAAGTTTATCATAAAAACAGAACCGAAGAATTCTTTCCCAAATCTGTTATTTTCCCCAAAATTCTCCAAATTCACCATTTACTGGGTTATTCACCAAAGTGAGAATCGAAAGACAATTTCAAGTGAAAATTGAAACATAGTTGACTTAGAGAACGTTTCCAATTGAGCTGTTTTGACCTTAAATTTGAAATTCACGTGAATAACCCAGTGAGGAATTAAATGCCAAAATATTATCTAAAAAAGAATACGAGGAATTAGTCACTAAGTGTAATATAGTGAATTGAAAACTAAATTGCAAAATGTAGCCAACAGTAGCAGTTGTGGATAAAATGATCTGCGTAGGCTATAGTCACAGATTGGGTATATTAGCCGAGATTTTACCATTAGCTGTTAGTAAATAAACTCTGTAGTGAGATGTTTGTGTTATCGAAGAATACCTGTCATAACAACAACACAATGTACAATGTAACACGTCCATAGAGAGAAGGTAATATAAGAAAACACAGAGTCTACATTCCTTGTTAATTATTATTATGATCCAAATTATTAGCAGTCATTTCACATATCACTTGCATCACTCGAGGCAATGACTTTAATGGTCGACCTCAGGGGGCAGGATTTGGCACAACTTTTAAAATATATTTATAAAATGAATCAATGGCTGCAGTCCTGGTGACTAGTGATGTTTAGAGTGTAAAGGTCGCTATGTTTTTTGTTCATGCTTGTAGACGGGTGATTGCAGGTTGACTTGTGTGTCTCATCTTATCTCTCTGGTCCTGCAGGTAGTGGTCAGATCCAGCTGTGGCAGTTCCTCCTGGAGCTCCTGTCTGACAGTAACAACTCTGGCTGCATTGCCTGGGAAGGTTTAAACGGCGAGTTTAAAATGACCGATCCTGACGAGGTGGCGAGACGCTGGGGGGAACGCAAGAGCAAACCCAACATGAACTACGACAAGTTGAGCAGAGCCCTGCGCTACTACTATGACAAAAATATAATGAGCAAAGTGCACGGGAAGAGATACGCTTACCGATTCGACTTTAATGGCATCAGTCTGGTGCAGCAGTCTCATTCGGCGGAACCCACAGTGTGCAAATACCCCGAAGGAAATTATTTCTCACCCCAAGCCAAAGCAGCTGCGCCTCTGCACCCCCATCACCCCCAGCCATCAAACCTTTCCACAGTTATACCCATACAGTACTTAAGTTCACCAGGAGGTGGGGCACTGTACCCGGGACAGGGGGTAACAAGACAACATGTAGGGCAAATGGGGGCTCATATGGGGTCTTACTATTAAAGAAGTAAGAAAGTCAGACTGTTGGTTTGAGATGCATTGCTGCATTGAGCCATAAGGGTTTAGATAGGGTACTAACCAAGGACCTACACTTCCACTCTATTTCCAGTAGGGGGCTGCAGTGAGTATGCATTTATTGCCCAATTTTATTCATCTTTCATTAGAATTTGTGAATCTGCAAGATTTGAAATGCCGCCTTATTCTGACTTTATTTCGAAAGCGATACTTGGAATTTCTAATGGAAAATGCAGAAATAATGGCTCTTAATGCTTTGTACAGGACACTGGCGTTCCAGCGATTTTTTTTTATTTGTTTTAATTCTATTTTGAATAAGTATACTTATTAAATGGTATTCTGAGAGTGCAGTGTCTGGAAACTCCTCCCTGTGCGGCAGATTGTGATTCTCTGACGTCTAGCAGGTTATATTATGGATAGTAGATGATCCGCCATGACAGGACTAGTAACTACATAAACCACATCAGAGTGTAACGTGATTTTAAAGAGGGTACCATTAACCCCATCCTAGCAGAGCTGCACAAAATGAATAGATTATATTTTATTCACAATTAATCTCTTCAACATACTCCGCTTATCCTGAGCGACAAATACAAAACCAAATAAAATGACAGCTCTGCTGGAATCTGCCGCTATATAACCCTTGGTTCCATCCCACAATTCGCAATATGCGGCCATGTTGTGGGAGGTCACATATTTAATTGGCAGCCACAGTAGCGAAAATGGCAGCCATATTATCAGTAATTGTGCCTACCCATTCATACCAACTGTTATGGCAGCCCATTCATACCAACTGCTACGGCAGCCATATTATCAGTAGTGGTGCGTACCCAGTCATACCAACTGTTACGGCAGCCATATTATCAGTAGTGGTGCCTACCCATTCATACCAACTGTTATGGCAGCCATATTATCAGTAGTGGCGCCTACCCAATCATACCAACTGTTATGGCAGCCATATTATCAGTAGTGGCGCCTACCCATTCATACCAACTGCTACAGCAGCCATATTATCAGTAGTGGCACCTACCCAGTCATACCAACTGCTACAGCAGCCATATTATCAGTAGTGACACCTACCCAATCATACCAACTGTTACGGCAGCCATATTATCAGTAGTGGCGCCTACCCAGTCATACCAACTGTTATGGCAGCCATATTATCAGTAGTGGCGCCTACCCAGTCATACCAACTGTTATGGCAGCCATATTATCAGTAGTGGCGCCTACCCACTCATACCAACTGTTATGGCAGCCATATTATCAGTAGTGGCGCCTACCCACTCATACCAACTGTTATGGCAGCCCATTCATACCAACTGCTACGGCAGCCATATTATCAGTAGTGGTGCCTACCCAATCATACCAACTGTTATGGCAGCCATATTATCAGTAGTGGCGCCTACCCACTCATACCAACTGTTATGGCAGCCATATTATCAGTAGTGGCGCCTACCCACTCATACCAACTGTTATGGCAGCCCATTCATACCAACTGCTACGGCAGCCATATTATCAGTAGTGACACCTACCCAGTCAAACCAACTGTTATGGCAGCCATATTATCAGTAGTGGCACCTACCCATTCATACCAACTGTTATGGCAGCCATATTAGTAGTGGCGCCTACCCATTCATACCAACTGTTATGGCAGCCATATTATCAGTAGTGGCACCTACCCAGTCATACCAACTGTTATGGCAGCCATATTATCAGTAGTGGCGCCTACCCAGTCATACCAACTGCTACGGCAGCCATATTATCAGTAGTGGTGCCTACCCACTCATACCAACTGTTATGGCAGCCCATTCATACCAACTGCTACGGCAGCCATATTATCAGTAGTGGCACCTACCCAGTCAAACCAACTGTTATGGCAGCCATATTATCAGTAGTGGCGCCTACCCACTCATACCAACTGTTATGGCAGCCATATTATCAGTAGTGGCGCCTACCCATTCATACCAACTGTTATGGCAGCCATATTATCAGTCGTGGCACCTACCCATTCATACCAACTGTTATGGCAGCCATATTATCAGTAGTGGCGCCTACCCACTCATTCCAGGTGTTATGGCAGCCATATTATCAGTAGTGGCACCTACCCAGTCATACCAACTGTTATGGCAGCCATATTATCAGTAGTGGCACCTACCCATTCATACCAACTGCTATGACAGCCATATTATCAGTACTGTTATGGCAGCCATATTAGTGTTACAGCCATATTACCGAGTCATACCAACTGCTATGGCAGCCATATTATCAGTAGTGGCCCCTACCCAGTCATACCAACTGTTATGGCTGCCGTATTATCAGTAGTGGCGCCTACCCATTCATACCAACTGTTATGGCAGCCATATTATCAGTAGTGGGCCTACCCAGTCATACCAACTGTTATGGCAGCCATATTATCAGTAGTGGCGCCTACCCATTCATACCAACTGCGCCTACCCAGCCATATTATACAGTACTGTTATGGCGCTACCCAGTCATACCATACCAGTACTGCCTACGGCAGCCATATTGGTGCTGTCATACCAACTATGGCAGTCATATTACCAACTGTTATGTGGCCATATTAACAGAAGTGGCGCCTACCCACTCATACCAACTGTTATGGCAGCCCATTCATACCAACTGCTACGGCAGCCATATTATCAGTAGTGGCACCTACCCAGTCATACCAACTGTTATGGCAGCCATATTAACAGGAGTGGCGCCTACCCATTCATACCAACTGTTATGGCAGCCATATTATCAGTAGTGGCGCCTACCCAGTCATACCAACTGTTATGGCAGCCATATTAACAGTAGTGGCGCCTACCCAGTCATACCAACTGTTATGGCAGCCATATTATCAGTAGTGGCGCCTACCCAGTCATACCAACTGTTATGGCTGCCGTATTATCAGTAGTGGCGCCTACCCATTCATACCAACTGTTATGGCAGCCATATTATCAGTAGTGGTACCCAGTCATACCAACTGTTATGGCTGCCATATTATCAGTAGTGGCGCCTACCCATTCATACCAACTGTTATGGCAGCCATATTATCAGTAGTGGTACCCAGTCATACCAACTGTTATAGTAGCCATGTTATCAGTAGTGGTGCCTACCCAGTCATATCAGCTGTTATGGCAGCCATATTATCAGTAGTGGTACCCAGTCATACCAATTGTTATGGCTGCCGTATTATCAGTAGTGGGTGCATGGTGCCTACCCAGTTATACCAACTGTTTTGGCAGCCAAAGTAAATGTTAACGCGCCTGAGGGTGACCTTGTTCACTTTGAGAGACATTACTAAATTTGTTTATAATTTATCAACACTGATCATCACCCCATCTCCCAATACAGACCAAAAAAAACATGTTACAGGTTTATTCATAAGACTGGGGAGAATTAAAAAAGTAACTGCAAAATTCAGACAAAAAGTGCTTTTCACAAAACATTTATTAGAACTCGTGGTTTTGTTTCCAACCACATAGAGTTGTTTATTTGCTGTTACCTATGATTGATATAAGCAGGTTTGCGGTTCCCACTTTGTATTTCTTTAAGTGTCTGGCTTATCTGCCCTATAATGTGTGTGTATATATATATATTTTCGTGGTGTAAGACACCGCAGCCACGTACACTTCATATTTCAAGTCCCCACTAAACCTGCATTATGTGAATTGGGTGAATTTGGCTTACATTTTTAAATTCCCTTTGACAGAACTTGGTTGTTAAGGGGTTACTGTCAAGACAATAGGTTTATTAATGTACTTGTCTTGGGGTCAGATGACATGGATGGCTGTGTTATGACAGGCGTGCACTTAGAAACGCAACACCGTTTATTGTAAGCCAGCGATAACACAAAGAACAGAGTTTATCATATTATTTTGCTCGGATGGGTTAAATGACCGTGTTAAAGGTGGCAATGTATGAAGCCTCCCCCATATCCTGTGGCCAGTTACTCTGACAATCACACAAATGCACATCCTGCTTGCGCACAGGCGTACACAGCCGACATCCTGTTTATCAGGAAACAGAACAATGAGGAAAAACATGTCCCAGAATCCTCTCTGCTCCTGCGTTAACTCCGATACATGAAACAATGTTCTTTGTGTGGATACGATTGGATTGCTAGCTTAGTGATGCACGTGGGATCTCGATGGCAGCAGATGTTACATTGTGATACAGGATGCAGTGTGATTGTGCTACGGCACATCTGCGAAGAACCCGTTATAGGCACCACTAAAGTGTCAAGATTTCCCACTAATGGGCGCTTTTATTACAGGTTAACAATTCATGTTCTTTAACGGGGTTAATGGTACCGATTTAAAAATCGAGCAAAAAAAAAAAAAACAGAATATTCTCCAAGTGCATTATAATCACAATTATCCTGTTTTAATTTGCTACAAATCAGAGTTCTCTGAATAGACCTGTGAAATGTGAACTGTGGATTTCAAATGTGAGACGGGAGAGATCTGATAGCTGATGTGAAAACTTTTAACTGTTTAACAATTTTAATCTAAAATTTTAAATTACTTTCAGTTCCTGCCAATTCACACTTTTGTAAATAATGTCAGAATAAAGAGAAATAATTGTGAGATTTGGAACTCACTGTAAATGGATGCTATCTCAGGGGTGAACTGGGACACTCCAAACACCATAACCACTATAGTGAATTTTAGAAAGGTTTGATTTCTTACCTGGAGTCTGCAGAGCGCTGCTCGCCACCTCCATAATAGCTCCTACAGTTAGCACTCCTGCAGTGCTGGGCTTAGCTCAGCGGAGAGAGCTTGGAACCGTCACTGAGCAGAATTGGAGGCGAGGAGCTGCACCCAGCAGGTAGCAAGACAAACCGTTCTCCATACAAAGTCTGTCTCCTTACAATGGGAGGTGCCAGGACACTACTGGCACCATAACAACCACATCGCACTGTCATGGTAAGGGTGCTTGCAGTATACCTTTAAGAGTATTTAATCTCTGAACTGCTTTCTTTATGGCAGAATTCTTTAAATCCCCTATTAGTCCAGGTTGTAGGATAAACATATAGAAATCCAGTCCGTATACCACCTAACAAAAAAGAGAGGGATGGAAAGAAAAGAGACAGTAAGATTTGGCAAGAATGCAAATAGTAGAAAAATTTAATACTCAATAAAAATACATAGCACACAATGCAGGGAGAGACAGCCGCCTAATGCATTTCGTACCTAGCGTGGCACTTAGTCATAGGGTATCTATCCTTTAGCACAGACCATAAGTAGATTAAACATGACACAATTCTAGCTCCCTCACATACAATTACCAGATCAGTACTCAATGTTCCATTACACTTTCCAGATCACGTATAGCAGAGAAGGTATTCGCACCCAGTTTTATTCCACCAGTACACTGCCCGATTGCAGCTACAGCAGCAGTCATGATGCACATAAGCCAGTCCCATCATGGACTGCACGCTCCTGGAGTGCATGGCATAGCTTGCTGGGTATGAGCTGGACACATGGAAACCAAGACAGTTTATTTATTAAAAAAATGGCCCTTGTGTGTTCGTTTACTAGTTAACTAGCACAACAAAGAAACAAAATAACACACAGTAAATTTGTCAGTTTTACATGACAGGGTCCCTTTAACCCCTTAAGGACACATGACATGTGACATGTCATGATTCCCTTTTATTCCAGAAGTTTGGTCCTTAAGGAGTTAAACTCAGGATTCAGAAGCAGCTGGCAAGGGGCTTTATTAAGGGGATACATGGCTACCACCACGGCTGACTTAGTCTGGGGAGGGAGAACCCCAAATGAGGTTTGCAATTATTGATCTAAAGTGAATGTGATTTGTCAAATGTAGAACTTTAAATGGGAGAGGAAAACTTAAACATAAACCGTATTCCACAAATGGGTATTTGATGACATTGCAGCAATATTTTTGTAAGGTTAGCTGGTTTTAACATTTATCAGAAAGATAAATCATTATGAAATGCGGTGAGCAATGTTTTATAACACAAAATACAGAGCGAAATACTGGGGGCTATGTACAAAGAGTGTTCCTGTGTATGACAAAATCAGTGATGGCACTATAGACTGCACCACCTTCAGCAAAATTTACAAAAAAGAATCTAATTATAAGCATTATAATGACCCCGCTTATATGAACATTTTAGTGAACTCCAGTTCTCTGTCACCTTGTTTTTATCATTACCTTCGAGAACAGACAAAAGTTGGAATAAAAACTGAAAATACATCTCAGTCTGCTCTCATTTATAATAGTTCACCAACGGAGGATACACACTCACACTCAGGAATCCAGCTTATCAGGGCCAACGTTGGCAAAACCCAGTTTAGTAGATAAATGAGGTCCAGGCCCTCCGGACTGCTGCAGGAAGGCAGGTTTATTGGAACAAAATGTGCAACGTTTTGGCCTGCACAGAGGCCTTTATCAAGCTTGCAGCAATCCGGAGGGCCTGGACCTCATTTATAAAACACATTTAAAAATCTTTAAACAGACACAAAGGGAAAAATATAACCAAATATTAAGCTATGGTAAAAGATTAAACCGATATTATTATATAATAAACTCCAACCTTGGTCCAATTGACTATATTTCATTTATAAAATCATTAAAATGTAAATATAAAAAATGATTTAGAATTTGAAATTTATTGTAGATTTCTATTGAATGATGTCTGTTATTCTCTGAATAAGGACGTTTCTGACAGGTTTTTATATTTAGTAAGAATAAATAAACAAGTTGTATATATTGTTAGTCTTTTTCTTCTTCACATAAAGTTACTATACACTTAGAAACATTTTCTGAATCAAAGCATTAAATCAATTGTAAGCCTTCCAGTTTATAATTTTTCATTAAATAGCGGTGTGGGTTGCTGGCAAACTGCGGATATTGGATTGGATCGACAATGTAACCATTTGTTCAGAACAGTCACAGAACATACTTATCTGCTGGGGTGATTAATGACTGCACTACTGTTCTGTGCAGGGTGGTCAGCTCACTGCAACGAGGGGTAGGAATGTGTTAATACAGGTATTAAAAGCAAACAAATTTCATGTCATGGCCTACTATTGAGTAAGCAAAGCAGGTCACAAGCAACTTCACTTTCATTATCAAAAGCCACACAGCTCATGGGCTACTGCGCCCTCTACTGGGAAGTTACAGCATTGCGCCCTCTACTGGGATGTTAGAGCATTGCGCCCTCTACTGGGATGTTACAGCATTGCGCCCTCTACTGGGAAGTTACAGCATTGCGCCCTCTACTGGGATGTTACAGTCATGCGCCCTCTATTGGGAAGTTCTTGAATGGCGATAAGGAAGTAGACAAGGACATATTTTGATATCACAATGAATTTATTTACACTATACATCACACAGCACCATAAAAAGTTCTGTTATCCATATTAAAGTTGTCTGACATTGTGAACCACGGCGCTGCACCTGTAATAATTGTACAATATTCCCTATATGTACACAAAGATACGATCCAGTCATTGGTTGCACGGTGGGCCCCAGGGCATCGTCGGTTACAGCAAGTCTTTAAGGGTAACTTTATCTCAGGCCGAGTTTCTTCTTCTCTCTCTGCTTCTTGCGCACAATATCTATATTGCGGTCTTTCCACATGCTTTTCCTGAGCTTGATGGGCCGCGAGCCAACATACTTTCCTGTACAAGGAAGAACATTCAAGGTAAATGCAAGAATGATAAAAGGATGCTGAAACAGACACTGTTTATTCACCAAATGCTACTGAATTAAAAGCTGAATGGCAAAATCTAAGCTAAAATAGCCAGACTGTGAACATAGTCAATTTGGATAATCGTATCCTGGCAGCTGGTCAGCTACAGATAATCTGATTTTTTTTTATCTTCTCTAAAAATCAAAAGCACTGTATAAGTTAGTCATCTGAAGCACGGCTTTCTGTACCCTACAGGTACTGAACTGCAACAGCCAGAGTTCTTAGAATGGTTATGACTAACAATGAATTCTGGAAGCCAAGTGCACCAGCAGGCATGGAGGAAGGCACAATCTGCTTTACACCATCCCCCCCCCTTACCATTCATCTCTCGCATGGCTCGCACATAGTCATTAGGGTCCTTGAAGCTCACAAAGCCATATCCTTTGGTCTTCCCGGTGCGTTTGTCACGAATCACTTTGGCCTTTAGGAACGAGGGATATCGGCTAAATGCCCGAGCCAAAATATCATCGTTTACTTCATTACCCAAATCGCCACAGAATATCCGAAAGTCATCTGCAGAATTTCAGGAATTAGTCAGCAGGCATACAAGAAACCCTGGCTGGAAACAATCTTACCTTTTCTGTTTAAATTAACTGGGAATTGTTTAAATTAACTGGGAAATGAGAAACACATTTAAAACCATATCAGGAGATTCAGAAAGAAGCATGGAGGATCCAAGGAAAACCCACACTAATACGTTTAATTTGCCTATATTTGCAGAGTACTTTTTATTAATCATGCCAGTGCACTGCTCCTAACCAAAGACAATTAAAAACAGCAGCCCCTAGACACGGGACATGACAGAGTTAAGGCTGGAATTGAGGCAATACATGCATCCATTATTTAAAAAAAAATATACCTAGGAAGCAACAAATAAATGCATACAGTTTCCTTATAAAGTCAGAGTTGTACAATCTGATTAAAGTAGAGAAATAATGGTTTATAAGAATGTAATATTTAACTGAACACTATAGTCTGAGGAATACAAACATGTAATGCTGGAGTAGCCGTTCAGGTCCTGACACCCCTCAGGATACAGTAAATGGATTTTAACCTTTTCCCATCGTAGCGCTGGTCTTGCTGCAGATGGCCAAGTCTCAATCTTGTTGATGTAAATCACTCCAATGCTTTCCCATAGGAAGCACTGGGAGACTAATGCGCATGTGCAGCAAAATGCTGCAACAATCAGCATTCCTTCGGAGATTCATTAAATTAATACATCTCTATGGAGAGTGTTCAGAAAATAAGATGTCGGGGAAAAATGCATAAAACAAAGTTTGTCCATACTCTGTCTCATGTTTTTTCTGAGAAATAGAGCAAAAAAAAAAAAAAAGAAAGAAAAGGTGGAATAGAAAAGAGGAAGAGAATAGTAAGCGATTGAGAAAAGGAACGTACAGCGTGACAGTGCTGCTTTAAGCTGTAGTGGTTCTGGTGACTATAGGGTTCCTTAAATCAATATTTATAGACCACAATCCTTACAGAACCCCTAGCCCTGCTGTCGCTGACCTGTATCCCATTCTAGCAGACTCTGATCCTCCCAGCTAGTCCCAGCCGCTGTACGAATACACCGCTTTAATTTCTCCGGCTTTGATTTCTTTTTATCCTCCTGAACTGGTTCTAGCACCACCTGCTGAGGAGGAGAAATACAAGAGTCAGTAGATCTGGGTAGTTACAGTCACAGGTGACAGGATTTGTGTTGGCCCATAGCCCTTTCCACTCTCTAACCTCAGGCTGTACAGGTTCAAGTTCAGGCATGCTGGGACCAATCACAGTTTCATCAAAACTTATCTCCTTTTCATCGGGCAAGGTTGGCACCTCCGCTATTTCCTCCTAAAACACAAACAGATCTTAGTTCCTAGTGGAGAGCCTCAAAGCATGCATTTCAGAGCTATTAACGTTGAGTGACTGACCTCAGGCTTTCTCACAGGGGGTGCAGTGTATACAGTAGGTGCAGCTTGTATGACAGTCGGATTGATTTTAGGTGAGGATTGCACAGTTGTTCGAGGTGGGGGTGGCATGGGGCCCACTGCAGCTGGCTGTAAATAAAGAAAATATGAAGAAAAGGGAAGGAAAAAAAAAAATATATATATATGAAAAGATAGTCAACATCAGTGAAAAAGAATGTAGTTTGATCATATTAGTGAAGATTCTAATATAACACAATCTGCAAGTAATAAAGACAATGCAGAAACTCACAGGAGGGCCGCTTCGCATGGTTAATGGTGGCGGCGGCGGCGGCATATGATGACTCATCAGTGGTGGGGGAGGACCATGCATCGGACTCATTAGAGGCTGAGGTGGAGGCATTCCCAGATGCCGTGGGCCCACTACAAATATAAAAGGCATTTTCTTTTAATTCCATGGAAAAACAAAAATTCAAAAACAAATAGACCAAAAGTGGCAAAATATCCTTATAAAGAAAACTTTTAGGAAAAGAACAAGGTACATCTGGGTATGAGGGCACGTTTTTATATAAAACAAATAAACTCGGGTTAAAAATGCATTATAGCTGTTTTATATTAAATTGAAAAAGGAATAGTTTAAAGGTACATTTTGACTCTGCCACATCTTTAAACCAAAGAGGGGTCTCCTGCTAGGTTTTAAAGAAAAAAATAAAATAAATAAGACATTTTGTTCATACACCATGTAATTACAACAAATCCTGTAATGCTGAAAGAACATGGCTGTCTTTCTTTGTCTCAGTCACTGACCTGTTCGCTGCTGGAGGACGTGGGGTATAAAGGAAGGCCGGGGCATCGCAGGTAGGTGATCAGGTGGTCGCTGTAAAGCATGGGGTATGAAACTAGGTCTCATCATAGGTGGCCTTGGTGGAGGAATAGCTGTATCAGCAAAACAACAAACAAACAGTATAAGGAAACAGAACAAGACAAAACAACATTTTCCCAAAACTCAGAACCTCATATTTAACTGGGCTTCCTCCTGCAGATATTAGAGCTTCAGTACAACAACAGGACAAGTTTACTGAACATGATACATATCTGCTTTCTCCAAATGTAACACAATGAGCAATCCCCCCTGCTTTCTCCCAGCACTGACACTGGACATTATGTAATTTGCCATTATTAAAGGCCACTAGAGGATTTCTCTGTTATGGAATGAATGCAATGGTCTGTGTGAATAGGATTTGAGAATTGAATCTACCTGGACCAACAAACTGTACTGGGGGGACCATCATAGGAGCTACCACACTTGCTGCAGCTGCTGCCCTGGCTTCCAAGCTCTGCTGAATCTGTGGATGAGTATAACAAGAGGGATGTACATTACCATAGGACAGAATGCATAATGCCACAATTACATTAAAAAAAAACAACAACAAAAAAACCGAATATGCAACTACATTAGCAAATCGTATCCCCTCTAATGTTCAACAATTTGTGTCTAAACAAAAAGAAATGTTAATATGATGGGAAGAACAGTTTATTTTCGGAGTCACATTATCAAGAGAGCCTGAGAATGCTCCTCTATAAGAAGATGCTGACTGGCACAGCAAGGCATTTGGCAGCGCATGCACAATAGCATTGGATTGGCAGAGATCAGTGATAATCTCAGCTAGGGAGGCATGTAGGCTGCGGGATGAAAGGCAAGTAAAAGGTACCTTTTTATTTCACCTAAACTGCTCGTAGGTCACTATAGCACCAGAAGATATGTGTGTATAATTGGT